TGTGTGTGTGTGTGCACGCTTTCATGACAACTTAAAAACGAAGTGTAAGGCAAATATCCCGCGGGAGAAGCACTTCATGTCACAACGGCTGCAGCGGTAGCAGGTATATGGGGGTGATAGGCAGCGGCAGCTGAAGTAAGCTGCTTCCTCGCAGTTTATGAGGGGGGCACACTGCATGTATCTGCCCCTGCCCGCACGCGCTTTGCAACTCCGCACGGCTGTAGTGGCGTTGTCTGCTGTCTGTCGTCTGYCTGTGCGCCTAATTGTATGCAACGTACGGCGATGATATGTGAGTTTGTGCATACAACTTGATGTATAAGTGTGTGTTGCGAAGCTGGTGCATGTGTGTGTGTGCCTGTTTGTTTGTTTGACTGTTAATAATAAATCATGCCGCCTTCATGACTGTCATTTAGCTGCATATTGTTGCTGTTATAATGCCTTCCCCACATATACACATACATATATGTATATGTGTATGTGTGTATGGGTGTCTGAGTTGTTTTATTATTGCGCCGTTTATCCTGCTTGTTATCCTTACACGTACACGCACACACATGCGCGCAGTTAGCAAGCGTGCAATCTAAAAAGGCAATCGTTGCCACACCAGCCACAAATGCCTTTACATTTCCTATGAATAGCTGAGTGGAGTTGAGTGCAAAGTTGAGCGCATAGACTTCTGACTCTTGACTAACTGTTTATCTGTCTGTCTTACTTTAGTCCCCAGCACTTCACTACTCCTCCTCATTATCCCTCCTCCACTACCAGGCGTCTCTCTGAGCGCCCGCATTTTGAATGTGCGAAAATATTCTGATTTTCAAAACGTAAGCAACAACAATAACAACAACAAGAAAGCCAACAAGTCACGGCAGCTGCATTAGTTGGCTTGAATGGCGGGTTGAATGCTTGAATGAAAGATTGCAGCTGCCGGCTGATGTTTGCTGATATATTACGCGCTACTAAGCTCTGTGTAAGTCCTTGCCGCCATATTTTTTTACTTGAGATCACAACCAGCACTGAAGCTGCATACTGCTGGCACCAAAATTCTTCGTTTTTGTTTTTTTTTCGCACATATTTTATGGCTGTGTACCTCAGTCTCACACATTTTGATCTATACTTTCGCATGTGACTSATTATGCGCTCGTATTGTTGTTGGTGTGTGTGCATATTTTATTGCCTCTGGCGCGTGATTTTCATAAAATAAATTTTCGCTTTTCCCGTAAGCGCGTTTGCTCTCGGCATATCGTTATGGATAATCATAACTTACTATTGTGCTGCTGCCAACTTAAATGGCCGAACTTATTGTTGTCTTTATGGCACATATAACGGTCACATTTGTTAGAAAACAAAGCCAACACCTGCAGGAATGTGAAGAAATATAGCTGCAGGAAGAAAGTATGAGCAATAGAGCGCTTTTTGGGAAGTATTTTGCTTAAAAATATTTCAGATTTCAAAATTTTCCGACTTGAAATAGTACTCGTTGGAACATTGATGAAGCTTACCCTTTCGTGAATATTTTTTCTAATTTTTTTTCGAAAGCATAAGGCCTGACATTATCCAAATACAAAAAAAAAAAAAAAGGGAAGCGCAACTCAAATAATAATTTCAGCACCATCTTTTTCAAATTTTGAAGCATGTGCTTAGGCGTTGCTTAGCTTCAGGCGAAGTTTGTTTTGATCTTAGCTTTTCAACCGAAAGTAAGTTGGCCGTAAAGTAAGACAGAAAATACCAACAACAAAAATTACAACAAACACTAAACTATTTTTTTCTTAATTTTGATTGATCAATTTGTATGGCAGCTACATATATATTACAGTTCTCCGATCTGAACAGAACATTCGATATGACAGTTGTACCTGGAATCTTTGCTTCTAGCTAAAAATTCACTATTATATCTTGTCAMTAAAACAGTCTTTCATAGAAGAACTTGATTTTGACCGTTTAGTTCATAAGACAGCTATATGGTACAGTGGTTCGATCTAAAAAATATTCTCAGATATCTTAGTATTGCCTTAGATAATAACCCATGCCAAATTTCGTGAAGATAGCTCGCCAAATAAAAAAGTTTCCTATACAATGACTTAATTCCGATCGTTCGGTTTGTATGGCAGCTATATGCTACGGTAGTCCGATATAAAACAGTTCCTCTCATATTGTAGCATTGCCTTGAAAAATAGTCATTACAAAATTTAGTGAAGCTATCTCATCAAATAAAACAGTTTTCCATACAAGAACTTGAATTTAAGCTATAAGTGTGTATGCCAGCTAAATGTTATCGTGGTTTGATATTTTCGGTTGCCACATATGAGCAGTTTTTTGAAAAGAGATTTTTGAAATTTTTATTTAGTCAAAGCAAGCTGTATGCTAAGCGAGTTGACGAGTTGAGACAAATGAGGTAACGATGAACAATTTTTTGTTTTTTTTGAATATATGCCTCCAATTATCGAGTGGCTTCCTCTGAACATTTTTGACGTGGAATATTAATTTGAAAATTATTTTTATACTAAAACTAAACTCAATAAGTTTTCAGGCAGGGAAACCTTCTGAGTGGAGCAAAGCAACTGTTGGGTTTGCTGATAATATCAATATAATAAACCTAAACATCCATCCTATTACTTTTTAACACTTTTTCCAATTTCTGTCAAGTCAAGTCGAAACATTTTTTATTATAATAAAATTAATTAATTCTCAGTAAAATAATATACTACCGTGGGCAAAAAATAGTAAGAATTTTTAAAATAAAATTCTTGCATAAATCCATTCGTCGAATTTGTTTAGTAAACGCTTGTCTTTCTGAAGTACAAAAAGTGCATTCGGCGATTTTAACGATGAGTGAAGTTATGCAAAAAAAAAATTTCATTAAATTTTGTGTGCGAAATCAAATTTCTGGTGCCGAAGTGTTTATAATGTTAGAAAAGACCTTCGGTGATAACTGTTTTAGAGGGTCGAGAACGTGTTGACAACGTACCGGACGTACAGGACGGTCATCAACATCAACTGATGATCAAAATGTCAATAAAATAAACGCATTGGGGCTTGAGATCGACGATTAACTGCCTGAGATGTTATTGCTTGGAAAACTGAACAGATCAGTGAAAATCATTTTGAAAGATCAGATGGGCTTCAGAAAAGCAAAAGCAAGAATGATTAAAAAAATGATTCCAGAATGATATAAAATGTTTTATTATTGGCGATGAGTTTTGTACCTATGCTCACGACCCGTAAACAGACGATTAATCGACCGAATAATAAATAATTAAGGCTATGTTGACAATTTTCCTTCCGATCGGCCAAAATGCCAACAAGGAATTAATAGTAAGTCTTACTTTTTTCGGCCTAGACTTGACACTACGATGTGACACGTTATAATGGCGTTCTCACCTATCATACTACAGAACATCACAATGCACTTACTAAATATTATATATAGTGAACAATCTCGGAGGAGGGAGAATTAGCAAAACAGATTATAAAACTGGTGGTATTACAGTAGAACCAGAAATTTGGCAAAAGAATTAAAACGTATATCTAAAAAAAATTATTTAAGCCTGAGTGTTTTGAAGTAAAGTACAATTTAATCGCGAGTGATGGGAACGATAAGAAACCACTCGACAAACTATTATTTATTACATTTTAAAGAGAAAATAGAACTAAGCAGTTCTGAAAAGCCGGTGCCAGCACCTGCACACAACCTCTGTCTTCTCTTAAACAACTAAAGTACTTCCATAAAATTATATCTATATTTTAACGACTAACATATCCTCTTGTTCTTTCACTTACTAACAGCTACTCAGCCTTACAGCCATACTTTAAGAATTCACTTCTATAAATACAAGTATATATATAATATAAAAAAGCATGCGTGTGTGTGTTTGTACTTACTTTTGGATTTGGCAATTCGCCGCTCTGCAGCGACGCCATGTAGCAACGCAAGCGGAACTGTTCGCAATGTAGACGCTCCAAATTCTCTTCCCATTGTAGGATTTGTGTTTGTATTTGATGGCGCGTATCCTGGTCGGTGACAACGGATTGCTGCAGCTCAGCCATGTGCTTCAGCTTGTGATCCTGCGGAATAGAAAATGGCGAATAGCAAATAGTGACAAATCAGTTGAAATCGAAAAGTTGCAAATTTCAAGCAAAAAAGTTTGAAAAAATATTTGACTCTTGTACACACATACATACATACACGAAATCTCAGCTCTGCGTGTGTGTGCGTTATTTTTTGCAATAAAATTCGGATTTTATGCGCAACGATAGCGCTGAAAAGTGCAATAGGTCAGTTGGTTTTGTTGTTTTTACAGCAGGCTAACGCTGACTGCACAATTTTCAGGCGCTGACACSTAAAACACATAAAACAAAAACTGCATTTTATGTGCAGTCATTCATGCTCAGCAGGTGTGAAATTTTTCAATCCAAGTTTTTCTTACTCCTTTTTGGTTTTTGTTTTTCGTCCTTCGCACATGTCTATTCAGATAATGGTTTCATACAACATAATGCATTCTTGCAACATTTGCGTGTTCGTAGCGGTTGTTGATTTTAATCACGCGCCTTAATGTAGGCAATATATTTCGCATATGAATGCATATCGTTTGTAATTATTCGTCGTGCCGAGTTCCCGACTATATAGCCTGAGCATTCCTGCGTAGTTGAAACTGTTTTTGGTGAGAAGCTTCTGAGCTCTTCACAGTGTCTCGTAAAGACAATTAAATGTAGCTTGGAGATCTCTTACATTAATTACTTCTTCAGCAAAAGTAAATTTAGATGATGTAGTTCTGCAAAGAAGTTGATTGCTGAAACTAGCCCAAGATTTATTTTTATTTGAAGCCCGCTAACAGTGAGCTCAAGATTAGTCCAAGTGTGTTTCTATTCTTTAACAGCTTGATGATACTGTTATTGTTACAGCTAGTTTGAGTGCAACTGCAAAGCCATGAGTACTTCTTACTTCTATTCCATCAGGTCATACCGAGTTGGTACTTCGCTGTCCTGTTGCGAGCTAGCGTTGGAATTCACCTCCCGTGAGCTTGGAAAACACTAACCCACAACTAAAATTTGTTAAGCTGCAATATTTTTCTAACCCAAAGTGAAATTCTCTGCTTGCTCTTAGTAAGATTTATCTCGCAATTCCATAGGATCAGATCGAGTCGGTCTTGCGCCCTAGCGTTGGATCTCACTTYCCGTGAGATTGGTAAACACTGGTCAACAACCAAAACTTGTGAAGCTGCAGTATCTTTCTAACCCAAAGTGAAACCCAAGATGTCCTCTAAACTGCTTGCTCTTGCAAGATTCACCTCCCCGCCATGGTAAGTGTTCTGATTGGAAACTGTTCAACAGACTCACAAGCGAAGAGGTAAAAAAAGTTGTTGGAAACAAATTGCCTAACCCACGCCGCCTTATCTTTGTTCTGGTAGGCTCAAAGCGCTGCGTCGATCTATATGAGTCTGGTGATCTATATGTTAGAGTTTTGGGATTAAGAAAGGATTACCATTTACAGTTGTCCAAATACGATTCTGCTTTACCTTTGATGCGAAGATAAGCCTTCTGTGCTGATCTAACCTAACATAGATGCTTTGCCTTATTCTATTCGGCTTAGCAGGAAAACTGAACCATTTCAAAAATTCTGAGAGATCACTCATCTAAGCTGTAATGCTCAACATTTTTTGTATAATTTCGTACATATTTGACAGTTGAGAGAGCCAGCTTGATTTACTAGCACCAACAGATTCAAGAACTATTATTTCATCCCGAAAAAAACAAGAGTTTGATGTGATTTTGGGCCGGTGGAATCATCGGTCCATATTTCTTCAGAAATGGCGACCCCAAGATAACCGACTGTATGATGCGCGGCGATCACATCTATGGTTTTATAGAGAGAACATTTCGGTGAGCAGATAATTTCGGGTTTTGAATTTAGTGAAATATCACACCGTTAAATTTTTTTCCTATAGGTATACGTAAATTCTATGCGGAGTATACTGTTTCGATTTAGGCCTTGGAGCAAAGCAGCAGGAGTGACTTTCGCCAGTTACCAGTCGAAAAGCTCATACGAGTCATCAAAAATTTAATTCAAGGGATGAAACATCAGATTCGTAGCCGTGGCCAACATTTGCAAGAGATAATCTTCAAAAAATATTTACCAGAGAATGATCTTTCGAATGAAAAAAATATTCCTCATTAATTTTGAAGTTTCTGTGTTTTWGTTTTAAGTAGGGAACCTCGAAATGTATCACCCTATATAAACTATTTTCCTKRTTGTAAATTMCATTCGATGCATTTATGAGGTTATGTCCGAAACTAACAAGAAAATAATTCCAAGAATTTACTGAATTATTGCTGGCGGGCTTTACAAAATTCAAACTAACCATGAGCTTGACCAAAACTATCAATCATATTATGATTACAAAGATGAAAKATGTGCCACGAACGGCTTCCGAGAAAGTCGATTTGGCTATAAATTGCGCAAAATTAGGAAAATATATACATGTAAGTGCTTTATGAGTGCATAGAACWTATATGTACGTACGATATGGGCGAAATATGATTTTCTGGGTGAAACCTGATTTTCATAGACATTGTTTAAGCAATTTCGGATGGCTGAGTTCAAAAGTTTGCTGCAGGAATCTTTCAACTCTCGTCAACGAGTTTGTGAGAGAATAAGAGGGTACACGCTCTCAAGAGGGCATTACAGAAAAAGTACAAGGARCAAAGAAGTCCAAACATATGCAAAACACCCATACGCACACATACAAAATTATGGAACGGGAGTCAAGTGTTTAGAGTAGATCGGGGAACTTGCGTAAAGTTGTTGCGCACAAGCAACCGCAAAAAGTATACCGCAAAAGCGACAAACTTGACAGAAGCAAAGG